CATATTCTCTGTACTGTTTACTTTGCACATCACATATTACAAATAGTTTTATGACCTCGTTCAGTGCGTTTTACTACTTGTGGGAATAGTTGTGTGGCAGAAAGGTTTTATGTTCGGCGTTAGTTGTGGGTTCTTCACTGTGATTGTAGCTGCTGTAACAAAGCAATTTCCTGCAAAGGATCGATGAAGTATCTATCAGTCTATCTTTAGAGGGGGAGTGTGACCCAGGTTGTTTTCTGAAGCTACAACTTACAAGTGTTCCGTATCGATAGACGCAACAACTTCAGCCGGACTCACTGCTGGAGTTTCTAAATCCTGACTGAGCTTTAAATGGGTTTGCATCACGAGGAGAAACTTCACAGACGTTCTTCTCTCTCATCTCAGACCTGCACACACTTTAAAACCTGAAAATATTCACACACTTGTAGGATATTATTCAGATTATGGTGCCAGAGGGAGCAGAGCACCACCTCATGTGAGCAGCAGAAGCAGTGCAACAGGTTGCTGCAGCACTAATGAAATCCTGCATTGAGAAGCGAAACAAAAGCAGTCGGCTCAACGAGTCTGGATGAGAAAACGTTTGGGGAGATGCAGCCAACACAGTTTGTCTATTTTTCCGTGAGAGTTTAACTTTACCTGTAGCTAACTTTGACTGCTTGTGTCTGCTGCTTTGTGCTCATCACACATATCCACGTTTTAACTGGTAAATAGGAAACATGTATAATTGAGGCGTCCCTGATGAACCTGTGACCAGTTCCTGATTGCCTGGAGCATGAAAATAGGAGTACATCTGCCTTAAACTGCTGTGGTCAGAGCCGGGCTTTACAAATATCTCTTAAACATCTAATAGACATCAGTAGATGCTCCAGTTTATCAATAACAGATCCCTATATAGACACTCATTAAGGATTTTAACAGCCACTCTAATGTTGTTTACATTTTGTTTACTACTTAGGTGTGGGAAACAAGAAAACACTATTTAATTTGTATTTGCTCAGATTCCTCCAGGATTACAAAACAGATGCTTTCATCAGTGATGTTATGTTGTCGACATCAAAATAAACTGTTCTTTTTCCTCATATGAATCCAGTGATGATTTTATGGCGTCTTGTGGGCACCGCTGGGTCGGGCGTAGCTGCATCACCGTCATGCACATGGACTAGAAGCACTTTAAAGGGATACCTCGTGTGTCTGTGTTGCATTTGGTTTTTACATTCAGTGCAGCTTAGCTTTGCACATATAATCGTGTTTAATAACTTGTGATTGGAAGCCTGTATGTTTACATTAATATCAGATTAGACAGACATTGGGTTGAATCTTGATGCTCTGGCACCCCGCTGGGATGCTGCCGGCTTCCATTACTTCCTCTGCTCTGTCTGTGTGTGTGTGTGTGTGTGTGTGTTGTGTTACCTGTGTGTTTTGAGGTGGTATTTGAGATGAGCCGGCCAGGTGAACGTCCTGCAGCAGCCCTCAAACGAGCAGCGCAGGATCTGCTTGGAGAGTGGGCGGCTGGTTCGAGACGGCAGCTCCCGCTTGTCCCCCTCCGCTATCAAACCGTGTGTGTGGTCACCTAGGCAACAGCGAGAGCAAAGTGAGCGAGGCCGAGCAGAAAACAATCCAGGAGTTCCAGGTGGCCGGCCTCCGGAGGCCGACTCGATAAAAGCTAATCATCGGCTACTGACTGAGACCTGCAGCCAAAAGAAAACAACCCGAAGCTGAATGCAATCACTCCCTTTTAACCTGACCAGACTTCCCGCTTCAAACACCTTTAACAGGTCCAATTTAGCTGGTGGCGTGCCGGCAGTAATGCGCCTATAACTGGATACCCCACTGCTAAAGGAAACTTCGCTAATCTAATGCACGTTGGCGGGAGGGCGGCCATTACAGCAGCGGCGCCGAAAGAGCAGCTTTAGCTCCACATTGACGCCAGAATCTCTTCAACACACATTTTATTTGACACTGCACTGACATAAAGACTATTCCAAGAGCTTTAACTAGTAGACCAGCTCAGAAAAAGCTGCGTTTCTAAATGTGCTGCTATATGGAATTGCGTAAAGAGACGTCAGCGGGGTTCCTCAACGTTCTCCTTTTGAAAATTTCAACCTTCACCAGATTTCTCAGGAGATACTTGAGACCATATTTGACATCTGAGTTCAAACAGCTGGATATTTACTATGCAAGTAGATAGTATTAAAATCCAGCTGTTAGTATTTTTACCTACTGGCTGTGTTTGCGATCGTGTTGGCAAATAAATGGCAGAAAATTTTAGCTTTGTACTGAATCCCACACAAATCCATTAACACCAAACTCAGACTAAGTCAAAGCACAACATCGTATTAAAGCAGCAACATCAATACTCCTAATATTTACCTTTTAAATAATTGCTGTCCACGTTTTTAGCCTCTCATAAATACAAACTAAAAAATGTGTTTTGTAATTTTCTGACATCTCTGCAGCTGTTTCTTTATTGTGTCCATAGAAACAAAGACTACCGCAGTCGTACAGGTTTCCTCACGCAGTAAAGACAGTCACTGCACAGTTCATAAATGTTCAGACAAGCGTCATTTTTCATCATCTGTGAGGCTCTTGGCGCAAATCACACATTTTCTTTCGAACTAATTTGGTGCCGCCGTGTGGATGCGGCGCCGCTGTAAGGTTCTCGGTGCGGAGCTGTTCTGCAGGTGATAACATACAGACGTAGATGCAGCTCTGTGTAGGAGTGAACGTTCAGTCGCCTTGAATTCTCGCCTTTCTTTCGATGACATCAAGCTCACTCTGGCCTGCAATCTCCAAACAGCACGAACAACCCTCCGCTTGTATGATCGGCTTAATTTTAGGAATTCGTAACTTGATAGTTTAGAGAATTGAACAGTCTCAAAACAAATAATTTTCACACAGTTTTCTCTAAACTTCTGGAAGCCTGGAAATGACAAAAATCAAACTCCATGCTGTGTAGGAACACTGCTTTGAAGACTAAACCATTATGTGTCATTTCAGCCGTTACTGCACCACCTCATATCTTAAATTTACAAAGCTAGTTCTGCAAAAAACTTGGGCTGAACTTTGAGAATTACATTTTTTTTTAGATGTGGGGAAGCTGGTATTTCCCACCCTTAAAACATCTTAACCGGAAGCCATTTTAAAAGTTCAATATCTCCAGGAATAGAACTTCCAGAGCCATGAAATCTGGTAACGACACAGACAACATCCTTTGGCTACAGCAGAGGCTAAAACAAAATAAAAGAAGTGCCACATTTTGAAACAAGGAGTCAAATCGGGGCTCTGTTGTGGCGTGCAGACATTGTGCATATATATTTACAATGGAAAAATTCAGTCTTTGGTGGCATTTCATCATCTTTGGAGGCCTCTCACAGCAGTAAAGTTTGATGTGTGGCAAGTATAGCAAGCCAAGGTTTCCAGTTCTTGCTATTTTGACATCTCAAAATGGTGACATAGAAGTTATTAAGTGTCACAGACATCTTTGTCGTGGTGCCTCATCGCTAGTTAAATCCCCACAATGCTCTCTGTAGTCCAAGCGACTTCTTTCTTGCATCTCACATTCCTACAATATTAACTGGTAACAGGTGCTGCAGCTAATCTACAGGATATTTTCTGGCATGCATGTAGAGAATACAGGTTTTTACCAGCTGGTGGACACCCTGTACTGGTTTATAACCACTTATGTAACATTCAGGAACAGCTTGGATGCAGAAATGCTTTTTTTATTTTCTTAATGCATTGCAGAGCTATTTAAATGTCATGCACTGATTTGATTTTAATGTACTTGAAGTGTGTATTATTAAGGAAAATGCTATCGTATCTGCACTCAATATCAGCACATGCTAATTATGAAATGACTTGGAGCAGATCGGGGCAGGAAAACTTCCCAGTTACTAATGCTTCTGTGTGGCACTCGCTGTTTGTTTTGTTTGTACAGAGGATCATAAAGCATGTAAAGCAGATCCAGGTTGGGAGAAAATAAACCTGGAGCAGGAAGAGATAGCAAGAAACCTTCCCACACTCCCGTATCACTTCTTTAACCAGGACCTCCAGCAGCAATTCGACTCAGACGGGGTTCAAAGATCAGACATGTAGCTAGAAGTCACAGAGCCTTGAATGTCATGGGTAAACTCTTTATCTGGCAGGCGGCCTGTGGAGGGAACTTGAAATGGTTTGTGATGTAGCCCCGGCTCCTGGTGTGGGTCAACAGCTCGCCACAGCTCCGTGTGCTGCAGGACAGGAACGAGTGTTTTAGATCAGAGCCGAGGCTTTACGGTGAGATAAGATGAACGCGTGGACGGAGAGCATTAAACAAGCAGCAGGTGAAGACATCATTCTGGCAGATGTAAACAAGCCTCCACCATCAAAGCCGGCACCAGGACAAGTGTGCAACGCCAGGCTGCATTTAACAACATTTTATGGGAGTCTAAGTTCTGCATCGGCTTTATCTAGTGAAGAAGTTTAAAGAAAGAGTCCCAGGTTTTATCAGCCCGTGTTACATCCAATATGGAGCTTCAGCCGCTCATTTTAATGAGTGTTTACTGCATATTTTATTGTGATATCCGTTACTGAACAAACAATCACAATTATTGGAGTATTTCTTGGCTGTAAGCAGCTAAAAGGCAAAGAGCATTTTCTACTATATTGTCTTTCTGTTGCTGTGGTTTTTATTTACTGCTAATTATTGCCGCCTACTTACATAAGCAGCAGAGCTTCTAATTGAGTCAGAAAATCATTATTCTTCTTGTTATCTCGTGTATTCACGACGTTTCACACCCGATGCTCAAGTTGTCTGGATTCAGCTCGTGCTTCTGTTTTCTAATAGATGCAGCGGTTATTATTCCAGATGCACCACCAAGCTTTGCTATTTCTTCAGGTCTTTCCATGAAAAACACCTGTGACCTATCCCACACAGCGATGTGACCCTTGAAAGTTTTCATTTTTTAGGAAACAGAAAACACATCCAGGGTACCAATGATTGTTTCTATGACTCTTTTTAACAGACAATAAACTGACATATCCCTTAGTTGGTTGTAGAAAAACATCTTGTCATGTGGAGTGGGTGTGAAATTATTCAGAACTCAAATGTTTTTTTGTAGTCCTGAAAATTTCATGTTTTCTGTCTTCTATCTATGAAGCTTTGAGGGCTTTTTTTTTTTTAAAGCATGAAATTTCAGCCCATCTGTATATATTTCAAGGGGCCTGTAACTCTGAAAATCTTCCTAGTATAAATGTAAAACTGCACGGCTTCATTAAATATACAACAAACAAAAAAAACAAAACCAACAGTTGATTCTGAGAGGATCAGGTGGAAACCTTTTTCAGATTTGATTTTATATGAAATAAATTAGAGCCAAGCTACCAGCTTTCTCCATTTCCAGTCTTTGTGCTCAGAGGCTAGCTTGTATTTACCGTAAATTCTGGACTATAAGCTGCTACTTTTTTCACACGCTTTGAACACTGCGGCTTAAACAATGATGCGACTAATTTATGGGTTTTTACGAATTTGCCTCGAGACAAAAGTGACACTGAGAGCGACAACGACAGAGAGACTGAGGAAGTGTGTGACGAAGTAATTCTGGGGCTGTTCAACTCCGACACTTTAGTGGTTTTAGTGCAGGAGGAAGATGAAGATAGTGATCGATGACTTTTCCTGGTAGGCTGCTGTAGTTTTTATTCTCTTAACCAGTCATGTTACAGGCGCTGTTCGGAAAAAAGCATTTATGTATTTGTGTATCTTACCGGTACGTATTTAATTAAAAGTTAAAAAAATCTCTGTGTAAATATCACGTGTTACAACGTGGACACCTGCGGCTCTTTTTAAAGTTAGTGGGTGCGGCTTATATTCAGGTGTGCTCAATAGTCTGGAAATTACGGTAGTGGACAAACATGAGAGAAGCATCGATCTACTCATCGAACTCTTAACAATATTACAGAACTTTCAGCTGATCTGTGACTTGGCTTTATCGCCTGATCATGCACGTCTCCTGTCCCGGCTTTACGGCTTCTTGTCTGTCTCATGAACAGCCAACCCCCTGAAGGCCACTCTGAGCCAAGAAAAAACCCCGATAATACTAAATAAACATTAAATCATCACAGACGCAGCACAACCGCATGTGCTGAGTGGCGATCGATGCCTCACAATGATGTGACATTTGCAGCTCCGCTGGATGTTTGCCGTCACACTCGTAAATCTATCCAGACAAAGCTACAAATTCCTTTTGACTGAGGGACTTCTGATGAGAAGTGTTGAACACAGTTTTAGTCAGAGCTGATTACTCCACATTTTCATCTCTCGGCTGACCTCGTTTCTCTTCCTCCCGTCTTTGATGCCTGCCGTAAGTAGACCAGCTGATCTTACCAGAAATACGCACCACTTCCTGTACGCCGGCTTATTTTCTAATTTTATTCTCAAACTTGAATCACAGATAGTTGGAAACGACGCTCTAACTAGCAGCACTGCGCACAGTTAACCTTGTGAAACCCAAACCATTTCTGGGTGTTTTTTTTTTTTTTCTAAGCGTGGGCTCATTTTTAACTGCGACATAAAAACCTGCTCCTCTTTAGAAACTGCAAAGACCCTGTTGAGAACCAGCGAGAACTCGGAAATGCCTCCTGTGCAGTACGATACAGGTGTAGTGCCATAAATCAGAGAAAGAAAAAGTTGAATTTCTATGATTATTATTTTATATAAATTGATGAAAACCTGGAATCGACTTGTGCAACATTTTTCCAGGCGCCCACCGGTGTTGAAAATGCAATAGAAAAGCACAGATTACAATCTTATGTATTACAAACCTGGAAAAGGGCAGAAGGAGTGGATGATTTTAACCTGCCATCACTTTCTCCTGTGGGCTCATTTTTAACTGCAATATAAAAACCTGCACCTCTTTAGAAACAGCAAAAAACTATGACTAGAAGTAGAGAGAACTCCGTGCAGTGTGACACCGTTAAGATGCCAGTATTTTTAAAAAATGGGGACTCTCTATGTGCTATAGATATTTTTGCAAACTATTCTTCTCTCTACTTTGCACATCAGCTGTAGAAAGATGTTTCCCCATGCTGGATGTATCTTCCAACAACTTTGCTTCTCTGTTCAGTGTTTCTGAGCCATGCTGCCTTTATTTTATTGACCCAGTGCGTTTTATTTTTTCTCTCGGTCTCTCCCGTCGTCTCCTCTCTGCTCCGTCTAAGAACTACCTGCAGTTCAACAGAAAACTGTTTTGTTTTATTGTTGTGGGTGAATTTGGGGGTGATTATGGGGAAAAATCACAATTTTCAGCTGAGATTTGCTTCATTTTCCTGACAGAACCACACATCCGCATACTAAGGGAAGTTTAAAATCCAACAATTCTTTCTTTTTCTACAGTTTCTGGCTCTGATAATAGTTAAACCGACTAACTTTTCGAAGCAACCGGCAGCTTTTGGGTCCAGAGGGTTAAAGTTACTGTATGAGGAGCCTGTGGTATGGGGGTATAATTGGAGCAAAACCATTTGTAAATGTGTATAGAGAGTTGTGTGTCTGTAGTGAGATTTGTGAAGGTGTAAAACAATTTGTAAAAGAGGCCATCAGGCGGCGCTATCCTCCAGAGTCTTTAGAGCACGCAACATTGTCTGATATATGTGAACAAGTTAAATTCACTGAGTTTGTGGGTCGCTGAGCGCAAATTTTCATGATGGCTTGCAGGTGGCGCAACTGCTGAGGTAAAGAGCAGCAGAGCGGTACACAGCGGAATGAACGAGCCTGTGAGCCTGAGCTCAGGGCAAAGAAACCCTGACGTTACAGATATGAATCTCTCACGGCAGAAGTGCAGCAAAACAAGACAGCCAATTGTGAGGCCCGCCTGACTTGTGACTGGTGACTTGTCTGTATTTCCACTTGTAGCCAAATACTTTTTATCTATTAATATCTTTGTACACATTTACAGATCTCAAACCACACAGATTGAGATGCAGACACACAACTCTCAATGCACATTTACCAATAGTTTTGCTCCAATAATAGCCCCATACCGTGGGACATTACCTACCAGTGTCAAAGCCCTCTAAAGACGTTTTTGGCACGTGTTAAGACAAAGCGACTTACCGACACTTGCGGCTCTGGCGTCCTGGCTGGCCTTGGCGTCCCTCGCCAGTTGAGCCCGTGTGGCGGCGATGAGGCTGTCGTGCGCCAGCTCCTGCACCCGCAGATACCAGGGAGCGCTGCCATCTATCCCGTAGTCCCCCGATGAGACGCCCTCGTCGTCGTCATCTCCGGCGCCATCTGCGGCGAAGATCAGCGACTCTGAGGAGGCCGTGATGCCTGAGAGCGAAGAAGAGGCAGCATGAGAATCGCTGTGAAACAAGTAATCCAAGACCACTGCAGTGTTCTGCAAAGCCTCGGCCCCTCGAGGTCACATTCCTGAATCCATTACTGTCCTCCCACCGTGGTCAGCAGCTCTGGGTTTAATGGCTTCATTCTGAAAGGCTGAGATGACACACACATATATACACCTCAAAAATTAAAAAAGACAACCTTTAATTTAGAATCTGAAAAGACAAGACAATAGACAAGCGGTTCTGTCCTCTGGAAAGTCTTTTCTACCCTTCACATCCCTCAGTGAGTCACTGCTCGCTGCACAAAAGGTGCATGTCAAGAGACCAAAATTAATTTCTTGACTCCGCTGCCAAGGGCTGATGAACCCAGAGAATGTGGCTGCCAAGGATCATTTCTTCAAGCCAAAATAATTCGCTTTTTTTTGAAGAAGAAGAAAATGTGTCACCCCAGTTCTTTTTAGTGCTGCGAGTAGAATCAGGAGCAGCGCAAGAACAAACTAGACACAAGATCAGGTTTGGATTCGTGGTGCGAGATGTTTTTCCATTTGGGGCAAAGCTAAATATTACTTTCATGATTGATTCATCATTGAGGGTTTTTTTTAATTAGCTGTTCTAATCCAACGATTCATTATTTGTTTCAGCACTAGTTTCTAACAACAGTAGGTCAGTGAAGAAGAATTTAGATCATTTACTGAGTAGAAGTAAATATACTGAAATACAAGAAGCAGCCCTGCATTAAAAGAACTATTATAATAAAAGTACACAGCCGTAGAATGTAAAGTACTGCAGTAAAAGTTCTGGTTTGGTCCCTCTGACTGATATATTAGATTATTAACAGTGAAGCATCAGCTTCATTCAACTCCTTTATATCCAGTTTTATTTACAGAGACAGAACATTGGCTAATATTAAACATTTCAAAGAACATTTTAAGGATATTTATCATTTCAAATGTTGTTCCTTTAGATCATAAGCTAGCTTGGGACATAACGTTTTACCTGCAACATTCAGAGGATGTTTTGAGGATGTTGTCAGGGCCAACAGAGGAAGAACGCTCTCAAACTAACATTCAAAAAATGTTTTGAAGATGTTTTCGAGGCCTCGGACGACAGAAACAGTTTGATAAAACATTCCTGTAATGTGATATATTAACACAAGGCAGTGTTCTGAGGATGTTTTGGTGCTTTATCACATTATAAAATGTTCTTCTATAAAACATTCCCGCAATGTTGCAGGACAACAAAGGAAGGAGGCTCTCCATTGAACATTTAGAAAATGTTTTAAGAACATTAGGGCACACTGGTTCAGCAATGTTACCAGCAAACATTTTAATAATGTCTTTAGAGAACATTATCCGACCTCTAGGGAGAATATTCTACAACTTTCACAGAATGTTTTTACAACAAGAAAAAAACCAGTAGCTGAGAACTCATCGATGATTTATGGGAGAAGAAAGAAGAAAAAAAACAAATCACAAATGTGTTCCCAGTTTTTCTCTGTTCTTTGATTTTTGGTGAGAAGTTGGATCACTGGAGCATTTATTAAAATAAAGCAGAAGTCTAGAAGGGAAAAATCCCTGTTTGGTGGAGCTGTTAACAACTCAGACATCGGAAATTTGAGCACAGCTGCTTTTTTTTGGCTTCTGACGAGTGTAACCTTTAACTATGTGTTCTATTTTAAAAGCTTGTTCAATTATCCATTGTGTAAAATTTTTATCTTAAGAAAGCTGTCAGATAAAGTGGAGCAGAAAGTAAAGTATTTCCCTCTAAAATTAACCTTTTTCCTTCCAGACGTGTGAGTTGCAGCCAATCAGGAACCCGACAGCTTTGTTGTGATTTTGTTGTGGGGACACAGAGCCAACCAGAACACTACATTTGACAACGTAACATCAATTCAACAAGTGACGCCGTGATTATTCAAAAGCTGCAGCGCTTGAGACACGTCCTGTCAGTTGAGCCTTCGTTTACCTTTTGCAAGGTTCAGCAGGACGTAGGAGGTGCTGTCGGACTGCTGCAGGTCGTGGAGGATGGGCGGCGGGCTCGGTGTGGCCCGGTGGTGGGAGTGAGTCTGGACCACCAGCGTGCTTTGATCCGACACTCCTCCGAACTCCGACAGCGAGGGAGAAGTCTCCGGCTCATGGCTCAGGCCTCCGTCTGACGAGGAAACAGCAGCGTTTGATGCACAAGAAGTCCATAAATCATCAGAAAACTGTTGACGGGGTTTGACAAAGTGCACGCTATTGATTTATGGCACGAAGGTAGACGAGCAGACGTGGGCGCGTATCACAGATAAAAATACACCTTTAAAAACTGTGATGAGCAGAACATCTTTACATAGAATAGAGCTACAACTTTTGATTATTTCCTTGGTTAATCCAGCAGCTGTTTGGTCGATGAAGTGTCAGAAAATGGTCGATCGGGTGACAAATGCTTTGTTTTCGCCCAAGATTTTAAGTTTACAGTCACTGAGGAGGAAATAATCTAGAAAATATTCACATTTAAGAAGCTAGAAACAGAAAATATTTACTTTTTTCCCCGTCAAACCAATAAATCAATTATAAAAATGTGTAGCGTTATTTAATAAGACTATTAATTTAATAGTTGGCATCTGCTTGATCGATCTCTGCAGTTCTAACTTGGATAATAAATGAACTTCGTTCTTTCAGTTCCAAACTAAACATTAACTTGATCAGGCACACTTCTAACTCGAGTGTATCCTGAACTTTTAAACCAAATGATGATTTATTTTTCGCAGGGTAAACCTCTAAACCTTTGATCTCCTGGGCTCCTGTGTATGATAAACATGGTACAGCTCTCAAACTTATTTCACAACTGTCCAGTACTAAATACCTTCTAGTCTGACTCCCCCAGATGTAGACTCTGGGTATAGATCTGCCACTTCTGCAGCACATTTCATGCAGTTTTCTCCTCCCCTTCCACTACCTTTTACCGTTTTAAACATTTTCTTTGCTACAAGAAACAACCACCACCTCCACATGGAAAACGGCGAGTCTAGCAGAGGATTTGAATCATGCAAACGGCAGCTCTGCTCGGTTGTTTTGGCGATTTATCCATTTTAATGGCAACGCTCGGCTGCCTGACGCTATTCTGCAGAGGCACCGTGGCTGCACTGATAATTAGTCGATCGATTTAAGTAATTTTTTTAACAAACCAAGTCTAAATTTTCGGATTCCAGCTTCTTAGAACGAAAAAATGTTCTGGTTTATTTACTCCTCTGTGACAGTAAACTGAACATCTCCTTGGGGTTGTGGACCCTGCTGTTGGCGTGAATAAAACAGCTTCGGCGTGTGGCGACGGGACGAAGCGGCGAGTGTCTGCTGACCTGTGAGCTCCAACGGGCTGCACAGGGAGCTCTCAGCCGGAGTCAGCAGAGGCAGGCAGGAGTGTTTGGACTCCGAGTCCTCCAAACCCTGAACCAGCGGGATGGACGCGTTCTGCACAAACTGCACCAGCAGCTAAAGGGGACACAAACACAAGAGTCACAACTCAACACTTAACTCATTATTCTACTACACAGTGTTCTATGGCAAGCTTGACAACCTGGAATTAAAATGACAGAGATAAATGATGTACATCTTTTATTTCTGCTTACTTATTTTTACTTTTACCATCTATTGTACTTACATCTTATTGCTGTTCCATTAGGCACTGCATACATTCTCATGCAATATCTGGCACAAGAATTTCCTTTAGAATTAATCAAGTTCTATCTTATCTTAAGGTCATTTTAACTAGACATACCTAATCTGTGACTAGTCGGAGTCTTTAATTGAATACATAGCCAGTGAAAATGACAGTTACAAATATTTCAAATGTCTTAATGACTCATGTGAGGCTTCCCATCAGAAGCACTGGTCAAGGAAATCATTTCAACTGTCTTAGCAGAAGTAAGTAAGCTGCTGTGGTGAGTAAGACCGTGAGAAAACACAGCGAAACAGAAAGAGGTCAGCAGTGAGGAGTTTGTAGAGAGCAAAACCTCCGTTCGTCAGAGGCTTGTGGTCAACAGTTACTAAAACTTTGGCTTCAGGCCGCTCCGACGTGACGGTGAAACAGCTGTGATCGCGGTTGCAGTGTGATAGCATGTTTGATAAGCGAGCTGCCTCCCACATGCTGTAGATTCTGATGCATGACTGATATCTGCAACATGAGTTCGCCTCCTCAGTGCTCTAATTTAGGATATATGTAATTACATTTTTGAACAGTTTGACATTTCTTCAACAACCTGACCAGCTGACACTTAGTTTAGGAATCTAAAGCTGCAGATATCCACGATTCACACTGTGGATGTCAGTATTTTAATTGCAATAATCCGTAATGATAAACCCCACATACATGGAGGGTAACAGTGACATCATTTGTCCTGAAAGAAAGAAGACGTACAGTACTGTGAGAAAGTCTGGGGCCACCATTAGGTTTGTTGTTTTAGCAAAGTTATAATGAGCGTACATATGCATGTCTCGGTCTCGTTATATTTAGTGTGACCTCCGTTTGCACTCCTGGGTCGACAGTCTGAAAGTTTTCTTGAGTAATTTTGTGGTATATTATAGAAAGCTGCCTTCAGCACTTCCCAGAGTTCTTTTTTAGACCCAAACCATGACGGACTCTCCACCATGTTTCACCAGAGCCTCCAGAAACTCCCCTTTTCTACCTCTCTCCAACTCTTCCTGCCACATGTTGTCAGTGATGGGACTAAAACATTTCAGACTTGCATTCAGCGCAGGACTCTTTTTCCATTGATCTTCACTCCAATCTCTGGGAGCTTTTGCATATTTCAGAGTTTTAGCGCTGTTCCCTCCTACATAACAGTGGTTTCTTGGCTGCTACTCTTCCATAGAGGCAATTGATCAAACTTTTCCAGACTGAAGACGGATCCACTTGGCACCCAGATGAAGCTGCCAGATGTTGAGAGAGTTCTGCGCCGGACTTCTTCTGGTCTCTTAATGGAGAAACTCTAAGAAACTTTTCTAAGAAATGCTTATCCCAACAGCAGCTGGTCTATTCAACAAGACCAGAGACCCCAACTGACAATGACTCAATGTCTTACATTCAGACACAGCTTTTAAACAGAAATCTTATTATCCCTGTGCACATTTCACGCTTCATACGGTGTGACAGACAGACACTTCCAGGTGAATAATTTGCACATTCCTGCACGATCTGTACAGCTGCCTGACTGCAAATATTTTTATTACATTTAATAAAATGACATTGACTCGCTGCGTTTCCTTGTGTAAAAAACCTACTTGACTATTAAACGGATTCTTATTCTAAATACTTCATCTGAAGTGTCTCGTTGGTTTCGATTTGCCTCACAGAGGAGAAGCACAGAGAATAAATCAGACACTTTTGACATGTCTTGAATGAAAGCTGGCAGAATATTAGTGCAGTAAATGTCTTATTGTCTGCCCACATTAAAGGAAGGTCACACTAAACACTAAATTAGAAGAGCTTTTTCCCATTTGTTGTGTGTGTTTTTAGTACTGTGTACACATATTCTTGCTGCAGAGACTTTAAGGTCACTCTAACCTTGTTCAAACAACAAACCTCACTGACAACAAACTGTGCTGCACATATCTGACGTGTTCTTTTCAACCAGGAAGAATTCAATTACAGATATCCAGTCTATCATTTAAAAGATTAGACATCTTGCCGCCGGTGTTGTGCCTCTGCAATAAAGATGGAGCGTGAGGATGAATGGTTACCTCTGGTTTGGAGTCGAGCTCATCAGAAAGCATGGGTCACCCTGTGTGGAACCTGTGGAGCACAAACATTACTCACTAGTGCACTCACGTTTCCACTACAACCGGTTCAAGTTCCAGTCCAAACAGTACACACCTCGAATTTGACCTGCTAAAAAGTGACAGTGTGAGTCGGTCATGAGCCGCAGGTCATCTTTGAGTCATCACACGAGCTCTGCGGGCAACAACAGGACAAAACGTCAAACTGACAGTTAGCTCTGCTAGCCGGCGACACGCTGCGACTTTGACAATTACTGACAAGAAAGCAGCCGGTTGAATAAAGCAGCTAAACGCGGCAGCAGTTCGACAGCATCAAACTGTTTTGGATGGAGCAGGCAGCTAGTTAAGTCAGCTAGCAGGGGTTAGCAGCACAGAACTAGCTACCGGGGCTAGTTTCACAAATGCTAGCCGCCCGCTGATTAAATATGGCCGCGAACGACACACCGAGCGTCTGTTTGACTCCGTTAAACCTCCGGTGACACGAAACTAATTACTTTACCTGGTAATAGTCGTCACAGCGTCAGAGAGTAACTTAGCTGGTTAATTGTCTCCAAACAGAAGAGTAGCAGGTTTGTTCTACGGAGGCTCGGAGGGAACAACAACAACACTTCCGCGTTTTCCGGAAAAAAGTGCGTCACCGGCGCCACCCAGCGGCCACAGCTGGAACCAAACCGCCAATTCACTGTCAGTCACACAGGTGTTGACTAGAATGATGAGCTTTAATTAACATTAAATGCAATTTAAAGGTAATTATATACATGTTCTAACATTAATTGAAGAAAATATTGGTATACAATAAGATTTTACGTTTGTATTTCATTTTTATATCTCTAATTCTTATTAGTATTACATCTGAATGTATGCACATTTTTATTGATGTAATTTTGACATTCTTCATGTATTTGATTTCTATTTTATTAAATTTTATGCAGGCTGCTACCTATGCAAGAATACAAAAATCTGTGCTATACTAAAGTGTGATATTGATGTTTTTCCACATTTGGAGGAAACTGCAATATCTGAATTTCTACATGTATAAAAATTAATAAAATAGAAGTTTAGAGGGAAAATCAGTATTTGGTGGAGCTGTTAACAATTAATAGACACATGAAAGGTGGGCCAGACTACACACTGATTTTTGAGTTGTATTTTAAAGGTATTCAGTGTCAAATTTTCACCTTAAAAAAGCTGTCAGATGAATGTTGTGGAGTAGAAAAAACAATATATCTGTCTAAAATGAAGTGGAATAAATTGAAATACTCAAGTAAAAGTACAAGTAATTCAAACTTAAGTAAATGTAATTATTTACTTCCCTCCACTGGAAAAGCAAAGACTTCTGTTTACCTACAATTTTCTTCAGTTTCTGTTTTTTAATCTGTACTTTAACCAAGATGCAGCCATTAACGTTTCCCCCCACATGCTACTGAACATAATATTTGAAGTAACTCTGAACTACCAAAACAAACAAGGCGGTTCAAATCAAATCCAACGACAAAATCTTCTTTGGAATGACATTTATTACACAAGCAATGAGTCTCTACTCTAATAAAATGTACAAAAAGAGCATTTTACATCAAACCTTTTCTCATATTATTGATTTTTGATTGATATAGCTGATGTGTTCTTATTTACGTCCGCAGGTTTTACATCTACAAGACAATAAACTCATCCATACATTGTTAGAAAAGAAAAAAAAAAAACAGAAAAAAAAGATTGCGAGCAAACCACATTACATTCAGTCTGCACGATTCCACTCAATTAATCCCATTACAATTCCTTTGTTTCACATAAATGAACAATTATTTGGGCAAATTATACCTTTTGTAGATCACTATTGCTGCTGTACGACACCTGAAAACGTGTTGGAAATAAAAGAAGGCAGACTAAAGAGCACTGAGAGATCAAAGCTGCCGATGTTTAGAAAGGTGGAAAATCCAGTGTTACAAAACGTACAATAAGTGTCCTACTGCTCATGCAAAACTAGTGTGAACTCTGCTAAAAAAAAAAAAGTGCAGCCACATAACAGCATCATGCAACAACAACAGCACGTAGCATCGTATAACAACAGCAGCTTACGGTACAGTTGAGTCAATAAACAGTCGATCAAATGAATAGAATCCGGAAAAGAAGCTGCATGGATCCAGATTTCAGGTTACAGTGAGCGGAGGGTCAGAATCTGTAATAAAAGAACGTACCTGAAGGCAGCAAATGAGTAAAACTCTTAGAAAAGGTCGACATCGACAGAGTCGTTGTGCTGTTTTTAACCAAAACCTCACTAATTGTTCCACTTGTGGTAAACCAGCATCAAAACAGCGAGATCTAGTTTCAGCAGAAAGCTGCAGAACTTTGATTTTTTTTTGCGTTTTCATGTTAAAGCACAGCATCAACATCAATCCCAACTATATTATGCAGCTGTGTGTCGGACTGAGGAAGAACAGTTCAAGGAAATGAAGCTCAGTTAAATGTGTGAGACGTGTTGTTTGTCCAAGAAATTAAACCTTATTCAAAAAAAACCAGGGACATTTTTATCAGTGGTAACTCCTGCAGTCAAAAGAGCATCCGTCTGTGGCCACAGCCTCGCCGCTCGAGTGTTTTAATAAGGCCTTTGTTAAGGACACATGGTACTTAGACAAATTATTCCTCTATTACAGCAACAGCAGCGCAGATAATTACAGCCCGAAGAAATAAAACCACAATATTCTGTATTTTCTTAATGCTTTAAAAGTTATTTAGCAAAAGTGTACAACTGAGATTAAGAGATGCGTAGTAGAGCTGCAACGACTGACTAGTTCATCAAATTAATCACCAACCATTCTGAGTATATTTTAACAGAAACAAGTCTCTGATTCCAGCTTCTTAAATGTTTCTGGTTTATCTTTGGACAAAACAAAACATTTGTCATCTTCAGCTTTGGGAAACACTAAATCAACATTTTTTGCACCACAGAAATTCATCAACAATGAAAATAATCATTAGTTGCAGCTCTAATACGCAGCGTGAAATATGAAAAGCAAATAATACAACTGAGGATTGTGTTGCCACTTTGCAACTGCATATTTGAATAAAGAAGCCAAACAACGTCCACGATGCAGGACATGTTATGTAAGAATTTGCATTTTCCTGCCATTTGTAAAACATGTCATTATCACACAAAAACTCATTTGTAAATGCACCGCGGGTCTTCTGAACAGCCGCTGGATTTAAACCACTCGATACGTTGCACTTGTTTAACTTTACAGAGCAGAAGGCTCCACAGCGCGACTGAAAAACGTATCGGTGTGAAACTGAGCCGCGGCTCTCATTAGCCCGAACTGGGCTCATTATAAGTGGAAGACACAAGGAGCTCGTTTAAGATACAGCGAGGCAGAGTTGATGACAGATTACGCAAGTCAGGAATTTCATTTGGAGCCAAAGTAACTTCAAAACCCAAATTCGACTCTATAAATAGTCGCCTCGAGTACAAAAGGCTTCCAACACGAGACTCAAAAGAAGGAGCTTAAAACTGTTGCATGTTACGGCTCAGGACTGCCACAAAAACAGGTAGAGAAAGTGGAATTGTTTTTTTACATGAGCTAGGAAGGCTTCTGCCAAAACTTTAAAGCGTCTCTGGATTGTAACTCAGGCAGAGAAAACAGACTTTTGTGGTCAGTTATACGACCGCAATAACCACAGAGATGCTGGGAGGGGAGATAATGAGCAGAAAGGACTGTACAATGCGTCCGAGGCTGTTTTTGCTGACGGCGAAACTGGTGCACTGCAGTAAAGGAACTGGGTGGAGTAGTTCGGCTGACCTCAAACTTCTTCAGCGCAACCTCAAACTATCAGCAGGAGCAGCGAATAGCCACAGTTAACTCACAATAAGAGCTGGTTTGGGAGCGTCTCAAAAACTAAAATCGATCGTCTGTCCTCTAAAGAGTCTCAAACATTGTTGGCGAGTCAGTCTGCGATTAAAACACATTGAAGTTCTTCACGGCGCTCCAAATGAATAAATACTTGAGAGATCTGCATTTCAGAAAACCCACAGTTCATTCGCAAAATAAGCTCCAAACGTTGCAAATTAAAAACTCTTAAATGGTCTTGATGTGCATTAGTTTAAACAGCATGCGAGAATATAAACACAGATAAAGTATCCCTTAATTACAAAGTTCCTCATGAGCCTTTAAAGTCAGCTTAAGCACAGCAAGCATTGTACAAAATCACCACATCAAACATCATTAAAAGGCTTAATATAATACAGAATATGTAAAAAAAAAAAAAGTTTAAGATCTAGGAAACTACTCGTAGTAAAAACAAATAACTATGAAGTCGTTAGAGCTGCAACAATTAGTCAATTTGAGTCATTTAAGAAGGAAAAAAGTCTAAAATATTTGACTTAAGCTTCTTAAATGTGAATATTTTGTGGTTTTTTTCTTCCTCTATTACAGTAAACTGAATATATTTGGGTGGTGGACAAAACAGTTGTGGTTTTATTGGACCAATTTTTGCCATTTTCTGATATATTTTCTGATATCAAACAAATAATTGAGAAAATAATCCACACTGGAAATAGTAGTTAGTTGCAGCCCTAACGTGTATAAACCAGCAGTGTGCTTACGACGACTCGCAATGCTCTTCATGTACGATACTCACAACATGAACACTTCTCCTGTCCACCCTAAATGAGCTACAGTTTCATAGCTGCCAGTAAATTCTTTAGAATACTTTAGTGCAAATGCAAAGTTCTGCGACATACATTGGGTTTGGATATTAAGGCCATAATTTAAAAACATGAAAAGTTATTAATGAAGTATCCTACTACTCAACAGCTGTTTTGTATTTGTAATTAAAAAAAACAAAAAAAACTGGGACTTAAGAGGCCCAAAGTTGATGCACAATGACTGGTCTTCTGGTCGTAAGTTCACATAAAAGTACGCTTCAAACAGACGTAAACAGAAAAGAGCTCAGAACAGAAATAAAAATGTCTGCACTTGAAGTTAGTTCGACAACATCGGCACGTTAAATTACACCCATGTGTATATTAAAAAACACACACACACACACACACGCACACAAAACCAGATGAAAGAAGTCATACACGAGTTACTGATAAATATGGTTTAACTACAGGAAACACCCTTTACAATGGGATGTTGTTAGGGAAGCATCTAAATGGCTATTATGAGCTTCACTTCCAGCCAGTTTGCTCAGGAACATCTGCCATCAACATGATGGGAACGCTCAAGTTGAGACCAAATCTTTCAACTCGAGTTTTAAAATGCAGCAGGTGTGAAAGACGCTTTAGGCACGTTTGTCTGTTTAGATGCTGACCAGCTATGAGCACATTCAATATCTCCTTAATTCTGTCGTAATTATAGATTTTACACATCTGGAACTGCTGCGTGAAGTCAATTGGATTCTATTTTTACTGTTAAGCAACAAATCAGTGGAGCTTCTTGGAAAAGAAAAACAAACACCTGTAGAAACAACAGAAATGTTCGCCTGCTTCAGTCTAACGTAATGAGACATTCTGCTGTCAGAATCACTCAACTTTATCCCATCTTGGATGAAAACGCTTCCTCTCACGTGCTGCACAGTTTAAACATCCAGTCTCGGGGGTTAAAATTATGCTTTGAGATGCTGCGCCTGCATTGTGCATTTTAGCAAAAAGAGAAAATTTGTTCACACTTTAGATCCAAACGTCTCCGAGCTTGCGGGTCTTGAGCAATCGACTCAAGTGCAGCACAGGGGCAGCTTCAGTGGAAGAGATCCAGTCCGGCTCAGTGTGGTCGAACAGAAAGCTGTGGTTCTGGCCTTATTTGGTCCCTGACGCACCAAGCCAACAGCACAGCTCATCGGGTGACTACTGAACTCTCTGAATAAGCTGCGAAGCTCTCTGACCGACCCAGCAAACACAACTGTATATATAAAACAAAACGCTGTTGTTCTTTTGGCCTCGGCTTTTGTTTTTCCAGAAGCAAACAGCGCTGGCATCAGAGTGCATCAAAGCAAAGTCAGGGGTTTTCCCACATGGAGGATTTTTTTTTTTTTGGCAGATCCACAAGAAAATGAGAGAAATAAGTCCTGTTTTAAATTTGGATTCCATATACTGGAGCATAATAGACATTTTTGTCTAAATCAATCATACATATTGTTGGGTATAGTCAGCAAGAAAAAACCCTGAATGTACTCAGAAGTCTGTTTGAAGTGGTATGCTGAGTTAACAATAGCCCTGTTTCCCTATAACTGGAGATCTGTATTGAAAGTTTGAAATGTCGCAAAAAAAAAACTTAATTAAGAAAAGCAGGCTTCGTTTTGTTGCTGCTTTAGAGCGAATAAATTGGGCTGTGCAGTGTCACGTGAAGTTGGATGTACGCCACACAGTAATAATGAACAGAGTAAAAGTAGATGGACATAAAACCAGTTGTTTGCCAACTCTTAATAAAAAAAACGTGAGTTGAATAGATGCACAGAACTTTGGCCATCGAGACCATAAAAATGAAGGGAAGTATTCAGGAACTCTTGTAAATCTGCAGACTCTAAAAGTGCAGTTTAATATGTGCCATGTCAACAGTTATTCAAAAAAGGTGCTTGAAAAAAGTGCATTATTTTATTTCCCTCCTCAAAAGTCTAAAAGCACCTGAAGTGTAAAAACTTTAGTTTTTTTTAATGCAAATTTCCAAACTTTGCCGTCTCCATGAAGTTTGTCTAATGCAGAACTTCAACATATATTCTGGAAACACTTGCAAATCTAGTGCACTGTGATACTAGTGCAGCTTTCTTTGCTTGTCTTTCCTTTGTTTTATCTGGATTACAAACAGACTGCTGACTTAACAGGTCTCTTCTTGCAGGCGTGGAACATATGTGCATGTTGGTGGTCAACCGGCCGCCACCTGCGCTCTTACTATGAGCTCGGGTGTAACTTTTACCAGAAGACGCGCAGCAACAAAAAGTCTGCACTCGATTATTTTTTTTTTAGGTTGGCTTGGTGTGTCAGGGCCTGGAGGCAGCCAAAATGTAGGCCACAGCACTCTGTCTGTCCAAGTGTCGGGGGGTTGGGTGTGTTGTGGAGCACATTACTCGTGGTCCATCTGTTTCAGCACGCGACATCCCCCCCCCAACCCCGGCCTTCGTTTCCATCTCAGACTAAAGGATTACTGTCTAGCACTAGTCTGGGTCTAATCTGCTTTCGAGCCGGTCTGAACAGCTCTCTCCTTCTCTTTCTCCCGGTCCTCCTCCTGAAGACTGGCCTGCAGTTTCACACAGATGCTGGAGTCGCCGCTCCGCAGGGCCTGAAGGAAGAGGTCCGTGTGCTCCTTCAGCCGGTCCAGGTCGGTCTGGGTGCGTCGGTTCTGTCGGAGGAGCTCCTTGGTGCGCAGCGTGATGTCCAGCAGGCCAGACTTGCTCAGGATGTTGTAGGTGTTGCAGAAGCGCTTCCTCTTTGTATCGGCTTCATTGTCATTGAGGTTAAAATCTCCTGCGGAGATGTTCTCTTGGGTCCGAAGACCACCAGGGTTCTTGAAGCCCGTTATTGAAGAGAACGAGAGGGAGGTCATGAAATCCTCCTGGCTCAGAGCTGACGGAGGCCTCTCCCTGGCTGGACTGCTGCTGGCTTCTGTTGTGGGGATGGACAGTCGGCTCTGCAGCAGAGGAGACACGCTGCTGGGGGGAGCAGGAAGACTGGGGGTGGTCGAACCAGAGTTACCAGCACCGCCACCTGCACTTCTCTGCTGCTTCTCTTTCTGACAGTGTTCCCGATGGCTGGAGGTCAAAGTGCTACATTTCTCTGACCCTGATGACGAAGATGAAGAGAAAGAATAAGTAGAAGAGGAGGATGATGAAGAGGAGGAGGAAGATGAAGAAGCAGTTCCTCTCCCTGAGGAGCTAGAGCTGTCCCCGGGATGCGGTGCGATCTTGGGGTAGGACTTCAGGATTGGAAGATACTTCTTGGGGCGTCTGTGTCTTGAGGTGGCCTCTTTGGAGGCAGGGGAAGCTTGACGAGAAACCATCGGCTGGAGAAAGACCACCTGAGGCTGCTGAACCACCTCCACTGCGGGACTGAACCCCCACGGCTTCAGAGCAGGAGGATTATCTGAAGGCTGAAAAGGCAAAATGAAGAGCTTTGAAAGTCAGAACACAGCAGTCTTGCCATGGATACATAGCAGCTTTCCTATGATAACCAATTCCTCTTTTGAATATTCATGAGACAAATGTCACCACGAGCAGAGACTCCAGTCTGCAGAGGAGTTACAGGCATTCTCCTGTGAAACCACAGAACTACGCTGCACAGTCACCACATGAAGTTTCCCTTTCACTTCCTCTGTAGCTCTCTTGCTCACTTCTATACATCAGTTCAGGTTTTGCTTTCTCTGGAGACACTGACATGTTTTTGCAGACCAATACCCCTGAATAAATTTTCATCTATAACAGAGTCGCCTGGTGACTACAGCTGACCGTTGTCTGACTCGCAGGCTAGAGGAGTCGGATGATGAGCCCTGGCTTTTATTCAGAAACACACATAGGTTTGACCCAATCAGTGTCTCAGAACTGATTATTTCTACTAACATAAACTACTAAAAAAGTAACTAGGTTAGAGAGGCACAAACACAATTGAACCTATTAGATTTTCCTGCATACAGAATTTTTTGGTGACCCTTAAAAAAGGTCCCATATGTTGAAAATCCATTTTTATTGTTTTGTGGTTGTCAAGTTACAAAGATGTTGACATTCTCAAGCTCCTGCCACAACTAGTTAGTCTCCCACTTTTACAAGGGAGTAAGAATTTGACCTATGTAACAGCTGAGGCTTTCAATCACAGACACTGACCGTAGGTACTACCTGATGGGGGCGGGAACAGCAGCACCTCATTGGTTTTAGGGGCAAAACAGCTGGTTTGGAAGAGCTCTAAAACCAGGGGTTATAGTGTCATGCCAAAATGAACCATCTCTGCAGTGTTTGTGAACTGAATAAGTGAAAGACACACCCTGGAGGCATGTAAGACTTCGATTAGTTTGCTAAAAAGAAGCACAAAATTAGATCTTTAAGGAGGTTTTAAGTGTCCCCGAAGAGATTTTAACAGGCACTAAAGGAAAATCTCCAACCTAAAAATGATAAAAACTGAGGATACTCTGTATTTGAACCAGTTTTGTTCAATGGGGTTGCATTTATTGTAGCACAACAGACACTTTTGTCTATCAAATAGCTAGAAAAAACCCAGTAAAATACATAGGTTTCTGGAGACTCGTTGCCTTTATGCACGCAGACTGATCTAACTGTGGTGCGTATTCTCCTCCCAACAGGCCCATTCTGAGCAGAAAAAAACCCAGATGCTTTGAAGTTACAATTACCTTTCAACAGAAGCAGCACTGTAAACAGTGTTTTATGATAAAAACCATGTTGGAGGTAGGCCATTCCATTTTATCAACAAAAATTAAAGCGTTTAGCGGATAGAAGTGAGTTTAATTCAGTGAAAGTGCACAAGAGGGATCCACTCATCAAAATATTTGTGACCAAAATCTTTGTCATAAAAGCTTAAATAACCAACTGCAGAGGTATAAATTAAGTAAGCTCTTTCTTTATATAAAATTTATTTGGATTTGAGTTTGAGCACGTGTGCTGCTGCTGCTGAGACTAAACGTTAACAGCGTTTAGTGTCACCCCTGTGTGAATGGTCAGTCTTTTTTATGGTGGCGCATTCCAGGCAGTTGTGACTCGACCGCCACATGCAAGTTAAACAGGAACAGTAAAACTGGACCACAGCTTTCCTGTTTTGACCTGCCTGAAAGGAAAGAACCTCCGATGCGAAGCAGAGGGGTAATTCATCCACACACATAATTTTATACACTGAGATTTTATGTTTTCAAAGTACAGCTGTCTCGTGTTACCTGTTTGAGAAGAACGTTGTTCATGATGATCATGGGGGAGAGGCTGGAGTAGGAGCCTCCCACCACAGCCAGCTGAGAAGGCTGGGGCCCCGAGCCAGACGTCTGCGGCCCCTGAACATGTTGGGGTGAATCCTCAGAGTCTGTGGTGTCCATCGTGCTGAAGTGCTCCGAGCTCGCATCTACAGGTCAGACAGAGGAGTAACCGGGGTTTTTAATAACGTGGCGGCTCATAATCGCAGCACATAAAGCTGTGGCGAGAAGAGTGGTCGAACCTGAGAATCCGGAGTCTCTCTCTGAATCGACGCGGGAGTCTCCAGACTTCATGATGCGTGGCCTGTTCACCGCCCTTGAGTGGGTCTCTGCCTTCCTCTTGGTGCTCATCTTCGTCGTGCTGCACTGACAATGTCCTCGGCTCACGAAACTACATGAGCAAATGAAAAACTACAGCTGGGAATTAAACAGCACTAAGACTCCCTTTTCACATTAACAACACTGATATTTAGAGAAGTGAGACTATGGTACAAAATCAATACCATAAAACTTGATGCTACTTGTTTTCTGTGGCACTAAAATGATCAGAAGTACCACAGCTGTCACAGTTAGCCTGCTGGAGATAAGGATTTCTCCAAAATGGTGACAGACAAAACTAAGTTGTACTAAGTTATAGATGACCAAAGCTATAGACGGTGGTGCATTCGGAAAGAAACACCTCAAACATATTCAAGCAACCCAAAGAAAACATCAAAAGCATCCAAGTTTATACACAGAATTCAAGCTGAGAGTTGCAGTTGTGTCTTTATATCAACATGTCATCACAATGTTCAAATTACTGCTACTGTTTGAGAAAAGCAGCACATTTAGGCGAACACAGCAATGGCTCATAATGTGACCTGAGTGCTCTAAAGCTTCTCAAAGCTCACAAAATATGACAAAAACTCACATAAAAAGTCCTCACAAGGAAACTGGACGAGTGAGTTTCAGAACACAGCATTGTTTGTTTAGCTACACCCCAATGTTTTTAATAATGCTCAAATGTGCTAGACTATTATTTGCATCTTTTTTTTTCCATACATCAGGCAGCTGGACAATGCAGGAGCAATAATATGCCTTCTGATATTATTTACTTTGATATTTAATTAACTGTTAATTAAAAGGTTTGTGTTTTATGATTTAAATTTGAATATTTTCTGCTGTATTTCCACCTCTATGGCAGTAAACTGAATATCTTTGAGTTGAGTTGGATAAAACAAGATATTTGAGGACGTCATTTTGGGCTTTGGGAAATACAGGTTGACATTTTTTTAACCATTTTCTGATATATTAGTCCAAACAACTGACCAATTAGGAAAATATTCAACAGATTAATGGATACTAAAAATAATCAGCCCTATTTGAAAGACTGTTTTATTGGGATATTTTTTTTTAGTGGTATCAAATTTGGCATTGAGAATTGTAGAATTTAAGTAGCACTGGTACCGGCTACCAAATTTCTGGTATTGTGACAAATTTGGTTTTCAGCTACAGTTGGGCAACGTTATCCTGGTTTGGCTGCTTCACAGTTTATCTGCCCCTTAGTAAACTATTAAAGTGAACAACGAAAGCCTTGATTATTACTGAAGCCCGACTGCTGTGCTATTATTTGCTGATTTTAACTGGCTGATGTCGGCCTTTCACAGATAAATTGGTATCAACGTACACGTTGTCCAACATGCGCCGATATGAAAACTATGTTTTTACAAAACATAATGCAGAAAAAGATGGTTGGGGTCACTCAGAAATCATATAGTTTGTCTAGCAGAGTGGCTCTGACGCTACCAAAGTCTCAGCACCGACTGCAGCACATGTGTAACGATATAAACACAACATGCAACATTTAATTAAACTCTACCTATTCATTTTAACATAGGGGGATAATTACTTGCTGTTTCAACACACAGCATCTCCAAAGCAGAACGGACGCCTTGAACCAACCAAGCATGGACTACATTAGAAATGATGATCTGCAGATCAAGAGTGGGGTCTGATACTAGAAATCACATCAATTTATGAGTGTGTCGGACATGTCAAAGCAGAACAACATGTGTCAGATTGTCTGTCAAACCACTCTGGCTGAAAAATTTCTCAGACAATAAACGGTGGCGTTAAATGCCAGGCTGCGGCCCTCGTTGACGTGCTGCATCTTGCATGCCAACAGCTCATTGTCGTCTTTTCTTGTCATTTGTGTCATCGTGTTATTCGAGTAGACTGCATTATAAGGTGGCCTTTTATAGTCAGTGGTCAAAAGAGTGTCTGTGTTCTGGTCATGCCATCTGATCATTGTCCTTTAAAGCAACACCTGACAAAGCAAAAAAAAAAAACTCTTTTCCAACCATAATTACAGAACTTAAGTTATGATGTTTTTCTCTGAGTCAGTCAGTGTTGCTGACTACGCATCACAACTGAGCAGAGCGTGGTGTCTCTCCAGGTACTAATTCAACTGTCAATATGAAAACTTGTTTGTACAAAACATTATGCACAGAACGATGGTTGGGGGTAATTGGAAGTTGTTTCATCACATAGTTTGCTTAGCAGAGTGGGTTTGACTTTATTATTTACATTACTCAGCATTGTCTGCAGCACATGCAGCAGAGCACTTATTACATTTGCTGCAGAGTCCAGCCTGATAAGGTGCAAAGTGGTTTGAGATACACTGCTGGAAAGTTGTTAACGATGACCCTACCACTTTCTCTTTTCAGTACAACTCTAACATACAGTATAAATGAGCAATGTCCTATTTTTTTCACTTCCTGTGATCAGAATTGGCCCCAAAAAAATCCAGTATCAGTCGAGCTTGTTTGGCGTTCATTATATTTTACAACACCTAACATGTCCACCATCGTCTAGGTTTGTCTGATTAACCCAAATGAACAAAACACACCAGAAAACGTAGCTAAAATATAAAGTTGGCCGACTAGACAAAGTTAACGCATTCAGTTGATAGCTTGATGAGGCTAACGTACGTGTTCGCTACCACAAACGTACTTTAGCTTGGCATTTAAAGGTAGTTAATACACGCTGGGTAAAGTTGAGTTGCACATTTGAGCTAATTAGACAAAAAACAACTTTAAAAATACAAAATAAAATGCGAACCGTGAGTGTAGTTATGCTCCGGTTAGCTTTGGCTGGCTAACTTGGACTCAAGTTAAATGAGAAGCTAACGTTGGAGCGTTAACTCAGTACAGAATATATAAACACAAAAAAAAACATCACAAAATGGCCGAAAAACACAACAAATAACACACGTACTTTCTCCCTGGTGCTGCTCCGACGACGAGTTTTCAAAGCTGGCCGATACGAGCTTGCATCCGGGTCGAGTTTCACGGCTACGTCTCGGTGACTTGTTCCTTCGCTGTGTCCGTCGCTGCTGCTGCCGAGCTCCGTCGCTGAGAACTCGGTGTTCCACGGTACTGTACACGAGACCGCCGGCCCCTCCCCTGCCCGCTCGGTCACATGCGGACCACGGTGGCAGCAGCCGTCAGCGACAGCGGTCCAAACGTCCTCCGAGGGCTCCGAAACGGAAAGTGGGCTATCTGGGGTGCACGGACGTCCTCTCCGTTCACCTCCCGACCCTCGTTCACGGACACAAACCTGCGAGAAGCGGAGTTATTCTGTACAAACGTTCTTCCATATTTGGAAGTTGGGGGCGTAGTTATCTCCGGAGTACCAGCTACGTCACATTCCTCACGCCGCTACGTCCGCCCACCTGACAGCTCTCCCGGCTCCTGATTGGCCGGAGCCGCCAGCAGCTAAAAAACGTGACTGCTGCCAAATGTGTGGCAAGTTAAGGACATTGTGTTCGCGGTGCAGTCGGAGGTGTACAGTACAACAGACATCTCAAATGTACCGCCGGGAAATCCAGTGACGTGAGAGCTCCTGGTGCATTACATAACAGCATGGTTGGCCCGCAGCTAACCCAAGCAGAGCGAGTCTTGTCAGCTGCATGTTTAAAGAAGTAAACAAAAAAAAAAAACGCTGGCACTGGGAACAAAACGTCCTCACATGCATGCAGGCATGCTGCATTGAGCTTTACATCCAGCTCCCCTCCATGCTGAGGATGAGGTAGTGAAAGTGTGCACAGGGAGAGAAAAGTACAGTAAGAGGAGCATGACCAGGCCTTGAGAAACAGTCCCTACACCCATTGGAAAACATCACACCACTAAATATTTGCAAAAAAAAAAGAAATTCATGAGTTCACAAGTATGCCTGGGGAGCTCGGTCATCCTGTTTTATGAAATACGATATGAAGAAGCTTTGCGGTTAAATGTAACCACACCTCGACACATGGGTGTGGAGCCTGTTTGAACGTAGGGGGCAGAGTGTGTAATTGTATCACCTAACAATAAGAAGATTACCTCTAAGCCCAACAGTGAGGGACTCTAAAACTAACACTTTAAAATTACTACATTGAAAATACCCACAGTATAAAGTCATTGTACAGCAGGTGTTTATATGTCTATCTTTACTTCTCGATGACAGACTCTAACTGCATGGAGGATGCCAAATTCCTGGAGATTTTCAGTCATTTTTACTTAGACTTTTTTTTTTTAGTTGCTCTTTGCTGGATAACTCACACTACCTTTATCTTTAAAACACATCATATTGGAGTTAAGTCAGCAAACATACTTGTCCAGGTCATTGCTTTAACTATATTCCTCTTTAGAAACGTTTGTGTGATTTGTATTTTTAGCATTCTGCAATATTCCTTTTCTGTCAAACTTGTGCAGACTGAAAGTCATCTTGTCGGCCAGTATTTTTGGTTTATCCAGGACTATTTATTCACTGTGGCGGTCCTGGTCAGGTTCACGCCAAGCATGCTGGACTCCATCTGAGCCCAACAAATTTATCTTCCTCTGACCAAATAATGTGCTCCCAATATTCATCACGGCTCTTTTCATGTTCTTAATCAAAGTTTCATCTTTTGTGCCAAAGAGCAAGCAAGGTTTTTTTTTTCCTATCGCTCAGTCTCTAAAGGTTGATATCACGAAGCGTCCTTCACACCGTCTGAGCCTTTACAGATAGTCCATTTTCCACAGATAACCTCTGTGATAAGTCTAAAGCAGCTGCCGTCTGTTTTTCACAGCTAGATTGTAAAAGTAGTTCACCTTCCATTGACCACTGCAGCTCTGATTAGAGGTACTATGGCTCGTCTATACCTCCTGATTGCTGCTGTAGCTGTGTTTCATTGATTTCTACTTAGTCCCTGATCATTCTGTATCCTTTTTCCATTTCTGGGAAGTCTCACGATCAGATTGTTCAATTTCTCTGGAAATTCCTTTTCACGTGGAGCCATGATGTAGACATGCAAACAGAAACAGCCCATCAGTCCAAAAACTGTTCACAGCTCAGTTTAAAATCACATTCATGCAGTTAGGCTGATTGGAAATCACATATGTGCTCAGTTTTGTATCATAGAACCAGTTTTCTAATCACAGGTGTATTCACTTTTGCTGCATTCAATTGTAAAGTCTTTGTTTTTGATTGTCCGTAAGAGAAAAAAGTAAATTTTCTAAACCTTTAGTGACGTACCTCTGCATCCCCCTTAAAATCTTTGCCTGTGTCTCTATCATTCCACGTGTGTCTGTGAACGCAATGCAAATCAGTGGCTAACAATAACCCCTTGTGCTGTGCTAACTGCTTTTTGCCACCGAGCTGGGTCGGATGAAGAGTTCAGTGTCCTCGCACGGTGCCGACCACAATGATCCACAAATGCAAATGTAGAGAAGACAGAGGCTCCTTGTAATTGGAGTGTATTTTATTTCAATACCGTATTATGCCTCATAATTAGGCAGAATGCTCATAAAAATATGAAAATTACAAATTATATACAAAAGGTCACACAGATGACGTCTTTCCTTCATTAGAACAGAACCGGTGTCTCAACAGTGTAAACATAGAGTCATGCAGAAGGCTTCTGGCCCCTCTGTGAATGTCCCCTTTGATTTGACAGTTAATGAGTGAACACTTAGGAATAGACGGAGGATTTAATCCTTTCCCCTGGCAACTGAAAAGCTCAAAACATTCCATTATCTCTGTGTCTACTCTGTATCTGTTCTCAAAGCCTCAAACAAGAACAGACAGATTTAAAAATAAAACTGACATTGGATTTGGTCCAAGAAAAAAAAGAAAAAAAAAAGCATTCAGGGCCAAAAGGTGTCTGCAGACATACCAACAAGTGACAAATTAAAGGAAATACCTGAACCCTTGACCCCGACAGGGAAGGGATCCGGTGGCTCTGTTGGGCTGTGGGGAGCATTTTACTGGCAGGGTTTGAGCCAACTTGTTCCCAGCTAATCGATAAAAAGTTGTTCTGACTGATCACATTTATCCTGTGATGGAACATTTCTATCCTGATGGCAGCGGTCTGTTCCATTCACAGGACATGTGAATCATGTACCAGCCATCCAGGTCATGGTCGCTTCAGTGGGAGCCTCAGTAAAAAGCAAGTCAAGCAGAGTTCCAGAGACTTGGAGAGCAATGGTTTTTCCTTTAATTTGTTAACCGTTTGTATATATTTATTTGCTCTGATAAATAATCTAAAAAGAAAAGAAGAAGAAAGTCTTCCTGGAAGCAGAGTTTTGTGCAGACAGAAGAGTCAGATATGATCAGTGCATATGTGTCGCGTCTCCAAGGTCTCGCCTCCTAATTCAGTGGGGGTTTATCTTGTTTTGAGGGAACTGGCACCTGAGAAGACAAAAATAAACCATCTTTTTAACCGACATAACCCAACTCAGCTGCAAAGTTCAGTTTTCATGAGCTGCAATAAAACCGTGAATATTAAACCAGAGACATGTAGACTATATTGAACAGTGTGTAAACCTGATTCAGACACCAAAATGAGAAGAATCAGTAAATAGCTTGACAATTCTGACAACTTGTTTAAGTTATCACACGCTGTTAAAAAAAAATCTGTTAACAAATGGTAAAGATCTGGCAACAAGGGTGCATAAAAAATACTTTGGAATACTGTAACATTCAAAAACTGTAATAACGGTGAAAATAACTGCAAATGTTGTTAAAATAAAATAGTAAAAATAGTGTATTTTACAGTCAATTAGTGGGAAAAATGCTGTAGATGTTTATTTATGCTTGTTTTTAAACTAGCTGTTCTATTTTTTTGTCCCTTTTTTACTGTATTACCTAAAAGACATTAAGAAAACTACAAATTAGCACTTAATTAAATACATGGTTGCAAGATTCAATTAAAAAAAAAGGTATTAGATGAAAGAAATCAAAATGTCTCACTTTTGCAACATGTCTAAGATGAAGAAATGATGAAGTGTTTTAAATTTTAGGGCACTTGTATAACATATCTGAGCAGAAACCATCCAAAAACTTGAAAATCTTGGTTTGCATCTTTCTTTTTCTTGCCACATCTTTAGATATGAGATCCCTTCTTCATCTCTATTTTCATATTTGAGCCATTTGTGAATATTATTAGCATTAAGAGTGAGCTCCCCAACATGAAACTGTAAGCTAGTCCCGAACTGCATATGAAAGTTATGAGAGCGGCTAATGTGCTAAACCCAAAGTCAGCACTGCAGATGTTCACCCAGATGATGAGTCCGACACCTACATGGATGGATTACGAAACAGGTCAGCGGTGCACAGGCCCCGGGGCCCAAAAGGTCGAACTTTTCCCAAGATGGAGCCTCTGTGTGAAGTGGCATTTCTCCTCTCCCACTACTGAGTGAAAACTGTCCTCCTGAACAACCAAAGCAAGAGTCTAAACGTTCAGTTTGAACGGAGCCACCACGACGGCATCAAAGAGGGTGTTTATCCTCCTCAGCTTTCAAATGCAATTCTGAGTCCGATGGAAGAAATTAAAACTGTGTGGTCCCTTCACCGCTAAATACGGGGTTGTGAGATGGTGGTCCTGCAGCCCGAAGCGTTCGTTTACAAAGAAGTAGGAGTCAAACTGCAGCATTAACGTCGTCCGACCAGAAAACAGCCACAACAACAAGACCACACACGTTCCTTAAATAGTTTTGTGGGGAAACCTGCAGACCACCTCCCAACTCGACTTTCCCCCACAGTGACCTTGAGTCCAGAGTGCAGCTTTCCGTCGAGCTGATTGAGAGCATGGATTTCCTTCTGAGTCTGTCAAGGCTGTCAGATAAGATGTCCCCCAAAATACACTCTAAAAAGTTATTAAAGAGACCTCCTTCCACCAGTTAATTAAATATAGGGTTGCAAGGGTTCCGTTCAGGTTGTTTTTTTCTCCCCGATTCGATCCAAATCTGCTAATAACATGTTCCTACATATTACACAGAACATTAAAGTTATTCAAATCAATCCAATATATGTGCTTCACAACTGGACAGTGCTGCAATGCATCAACAAAAACATTACATCACTGCACTGTTCCTTAATGTTACGATGTCAGTAGGGAACCTCGTTGTAAAGCTGGGTAGGGTGTATCCAAAATATGCTAATTGATTGATTGATCAGATTTGTATAGTGCTTTTCTAGCCCAAGGAGTAACTCAAAGCGCATACACATTCATTCCGGTGGTGGTGGTAGCTACGATTGTAGCTATGACAGAAGCGTGGCTGCCATTCTGCACCTCCGACCACCACCTCAAACAATCCATTCATACACATTCACACCAGGAAAGGTGGGTGAAGTGTCTTGCCTAAGGACACAACGACCATGACATAGGTTCCAGGTGGAATCGAACCGCCGACCGTCCGATCATTGACCGTCTCGCTCTACCACCTGAGCCACCGCCGCCCTAAAGATGCCGTAAACCTGTATTCTTTGTATTAATGTAAGGAGAAGGTATTCTATATCAGCTGTAGTACCTGGTTGTTCCACCAGGTGGAGCCTCGTATTGTTTAATGCTACAATGACCAGATAATGTGTCACTCATAATATCGACAGGTCATGTTGGCAAGCAAAGCGCAAGTTTTGGGGTTAAGCTCACGGTCCAACATGGCAAAGACTTCAGTGTTGCAGAACAGCACGTTTATGTGAGTCCTGGCTGATTGGTTTGTGCAGATTCAGTCATTTAAAAAATGATCAGCTCATCACGATCTGTGACATCGATTTGAGACAGCTATTGTTGCAGATTTACTGATTAAGCTTCGCCTTTGAAGCCTCAAACATTACATTACATCAGTAAATGCATCCGGTCAATTTTATGTGTAATTTAAACTAAAATTTCTGCATCAGTTGACTGAAGATTCAATTTAGTTGTCTCGATAATTCTTTTTTTTTTTCACTTTAAGGTCAGGATCTGTCCCCTAATTTAACACGTCTGGACAATTTCACACTGTTAAAACTGGTAAATAAAAATAACTCTGATCTAACTTCCTTCTATCTCTTTGTAGTCTGTTGGTTGAACATATTCATTAGAAGCTGTCGTTATTTTGTCATGCTGAGCTCAGCCATTAGTTTTTAGAGTGTAACAGAGGAGGCGGCGAAACCCTGCAGCTGCCGTTTCAGACAGTTGACCTAGTTTTCACCAGATAGCTCACAGATCCACTTCATTGTTCCTTTTTCCAAGAAGGAAAACGTCGTGTGTGACTGAGGCGGCACTGACACTTCAAACGCTGATAACCGCTGAGTGATTATTGACTGCTCCAAGGACAGAGCCACATTTATTCAAGCCGAGGCACATTTTAAGACCCATTTATCGCCGAAATTGATTTCTGGCTCTGCTGACGCTAACTTCAGGCCTCGGCAGTCTCGCTTACACAAATCAGACATATTTCCTCTAAAGTTTTAGTGTTTTTAGTGCAAAATCCTCTCCTGATGTCTCCACAGTGTTCCCCTGCTGAGCTGAGGTGAAGACGTGATGGTAAAATTAATTTCTTTTTTTTTTTTGGACTAATGAGGCTACAACTCTGGCGATGTGACTAAGTGAGAGGGTTCACACTACATTCCCACATCTCAGCAGTTATTAGCTCCGGCTAAATGTCACAGTGCAATAAGAAGAGGACTGTGAAAGAAGTCCTTACTAAGCACTGATTTTTAAAAAAACTCTTTATATAGAAGCAGGAGATGATACGACACAAAAACAAGATTTAAAAAAAGGTGAATCTGTCGAGCAGTTTAGTGGTAATTGCAGCAGAGTCATTGGTGTACTGCTTGGAGTGTCCCTTCAGGAGAACTACCTCTTGACCTTCTGACCTGCAACCGGTTTCTGCATGTTTTTCATTCCTCTGACATTTTTACTCACTGTGGGCTCATTTTTCACGACAACAT